CTCTCTGTTACAGGGCACAGTATTTATTTGCTATTGCACAACCTGCCATTAAGCCCATCTGAGGCAGAAGCAGCAGCAGGCCGGTGTTTCACGACATTTTAAACAATGCAGGTGTGTGTGTGTGTGTGTGTGTGTCCCCTGTTTGTACCATTCACACACTGTATCACTGCTCTAGTAATGAGTCAGCCATTCAGTAAGTGAAAGCTATGAAGTAGGACAACTGCAGGGAAAAAATAGGACACACATTTACATGTAATGAAACTTACTGAACAAGGAAACAACTGAAACATGAGAAATCACGGATTTTCAGTGCCCTGCATCACCATGGCCTTCACCAGAAAGGCAAAATACTGAGTATTTTTCAGGAAACACTCAGTAGCCAACAAAAATATTCTAATCAGGATTTACTAAAGTATGATATGGCAACTAATATTTTGATTGCAATCTTTGCAGGAGCTACAAATGCAATACTAATTTCCTGAGTTCAGTGGAGGAAACCATAAGGTTGGAATATCTAAAATTAGGTGTGATGAAAGAGCTACCTTTTGTGAGCTCAGGTTGGAGGGGAGGGGGGAGGTGGCCAAGGTTACTTACTAAGTCAGTGGAGGAACTGCATTTCTGTAACCTCAAACAAGTGAACTCTAATAGCTTCCTGTCTAAAGCCACGTCTAAAAGTAACTTCATGTTCTTTTTTGTTCAAAGTGAAGGTAACCTTGCAGAGATTGAATTCCTTATAAAGCAGATGCACAAAGTCCTTTACAAGCTTTTAAACTAAATTCTACTCTTCTAGAAACATATGGCTCCATTTTTGTATTCGGAACAATAGGAAAGATATAAATGCTTTTTCAACGTTTTTCTAATCTAAAAGCTGTGAGTGTCAACATTCATCATTGCTCAAGGAAAACTAAAAACTCTGAAAGTATGTTATGAGAGGGATTTATTTCAGCTGTTCATTTCCAAATGCCTTTAAGACAACAATGTACTGCAGCAAAGCTGACTGTTTCACTACTTCAATTTCAAAACATGAAACACATGAAAAAGCAAAATCGCTTCAGAAAAGAATTAAGGAATGTTCAGAAGTATATGTACAACTCAATAGTAGTTCTACTGCTGAAAAGTGCTCTAAGAGTTGTATGTGCACATGTGCAGTTCTTATTAAGGCATATGTCCAGATTATTGTGGAAGAAAATAGCACCCTATTTCAAGGCTTAGAAAGAAAGCCACTTCTAAATAGTGAACACACAGATGAAATACTGCAATATGAAGCAAGTTCAACAGCCAACATTTATTAAAGCTTTAGTGCTGAAATTGCCTCTGTTGTCAGAACACAACATTTGGCGTCAAGATGAGACACTTGCAAATGGCTTAATATACTGGATGTAATTCTGCTCCTATTGAAGTCAAGGAATGCAGTGGCTACAAAACAACTTCATTTTCTGCAAAACTGGTACACAGACCTGCCAGTGGACTGAGCCATGGCTATGGAAAGGTGCCCAACACAGTCCTGAAAGCTACAGTTTCTCTCTCTCTCTGATGCAGTGCTAGTGACTGAAGCATAAAGCAGGAGACAAAATGAAGCTGACAGGGTTTGCTCATGTAATTTCACATCTGTTAAGTGGGTGCCACTAGAATGCACCTGTAATATGGGGGGTTTTTTGCTTTTAAAATAAAAAGGACTCCATAAACACCGCACTATAGAATTAATTGTATGTAAGTTCACATTCCAACAAAACTCAGACTGCTTGTAACACACTTAACTGGGGAAACAACTTTTGCAAACATGAAAAAGCATAATTTTCGTCTTCAATTATCATTGGAAATAAATACGCAGAAAGAAAACCTCAGTGGACAATTTCTTTATTGAAACACAAAAACATGGAGATTATGTCCCAGCTCAGATGTACTGACTCCAATAAGAACTTCTGAGCTCTTCTGACTTGAACAAAACATGCCGAGCTTGTGAGCATATCAGAGAATTTTGCGGCTGATTCCCTAACAATCTAAAAGCCCAATTTACTAGGGGTTGACCTACTCTTACTAAGCAAAAAGTGCAAACCCTCAAAAGTACATTTTCAATACTAGCTTTGTCCCTTCTTAGGTTTCTGGAGAATTCAGGAAAGCACGTAGTAGTTTCAGGTTGTGTTTTCAGTTTTGTTTTTTTCAGTTTCACCTTCAGCCCCAGGAAACAGAAACTGAGCCTCTGCCAATTACAGCCCCTGATTCAATGCTATGAAGTTTACACTCACCCAGTCTGTTTTATTAAATTTAAATTAACAAAAACTGCTTAGAACAATAGGCAAGCAAACTATTCACTTGACACAAGCTTTGGTCTTCTGTGTGATATTTCACCATGTCTACAGAGCTTTTCCTGAAATTCTTTACCTCTTCCTTATTTGGTTTTTCAGAAGACTGTCTATTTTCAGCATCCACAGAAGGTTTACATAATTATTAGTTCAGTTGCTGTGTTAAAGTTACACCTAACCTTGGCCTAAGCTGTCTTCATATGAGTGCTTTTATAAGGTATGACCTACAGGAAAAAAATACAAATGCAAGTTTAAAACAACTCTCGCAACACTAAACAGCATTATAAAATCTTAATACAAACTGCTGACAAAAGAACAGAAAATTTATTTATGGCTGCCTTTGTATTTCAGCTTTAGAACAAGTCTACCACGTGAAAAGCTAGTTCTCCAAACAGTAGTTTGGAATTAAGGACTGTACAGATGTACATCTTTTGAAGATACTGCATTGAGGTGGGATGAGAAACAAACCTAAAAAGCATTCAGTTAATGACAACCTACTTTCTTCTAACTATAATTTAACAAAGTAAAATGCAGTCTTTAACACCCCACAAAAGCACTTCAGCCCTTATTTCTTAGAGGGGCTTCATTTACACACCTCTTCAGATACAAGGGTTTATTTGTGTGGCTTATTATAAACTAGGAAAGTTCAAATCAGGGACAGCATCACCCACCAATAAACAAACTATTCAGACACTAGGGACATAAGATGTAGCATCCAAAATGACAAAATAGTCGATTTACATCAAATAAGAAACCAAGCCTCTGTTAATGGCTTCCTGTATTTTGTTATCCCACACTGGCTCTATATAAACCATCTGTGCTACACACACTTCAAGCCATCTTTCAACTATCAACAGGGCTTCTGCAGTAAAACAAACAATTACTAATAGATGTATCTTAGAGACAGATTTTAAATCCAAAAGCAGAGTGCTCCAGCATTCTGGTATTAATGAAAGATCAGAACAAATCAATAGAGAATTTTCCCTGAACATCCGTTAGTAACAGAATAGAGAGATGAAAGACGGGGGGAGCAACATTTGCTATCACACTCCCTCAGACAAGACAACACACACGGAGTCTGGATTGGAAAAGTACTCATTCTGAAAGAATTTCGTGACTTTTTGTTTTTTAACCAAAATCATGCAAGCCAAAGGAAAGAACACAAAAAGCTATTGTCATTTGCAGTAGCAAAAAAGTATAATAAGGCATGTTGGAAACAAGTTACCAATGAAACTTAATCTGCTCTGCCAACTGGGGGGTATTAGGAGTTACACAACTTCTCATAGGACTTGGCACATGCACCCCTCAGCTATTGAAACAGGTAAAAAGTATCACGCTTGCCAGGAGATTTAAGAAGAGAAGTTGCAACAACTGAGAGCCATAGCCTGCTAGATTCACAAGACCTTCCAGACCATTTCTCATAGGTATCTTCTGTTTAGAGAAGACTGGAACATTGGCAAATGAGAGTTCCTCACACAAAAAAAATCCCACTTCTTAAGTGCAGGTTATTTATAGGAAGAGTATTTAATAAGGCAGTCTACAGGTAGTTGTACATCCTGTGGTGAACCTACAATTATTGTCATTCAGGTTAAGGGTATGCACCAGATGCAGGGAACCAGGAAGAGATCCACAATGCAGGGATCTGAGCTGTGTAAGGGGCAGAAGAAATACCCTCTGTCCATGTAAAGCACACTTCCCACTGGTGTACCCGCTCTGAGGTATCTCTGGCCTTCTTTCCAGCCCAGCATCCCTGCTCTCAGCCAAAGCAGGAACCACAAATGACAGCCAGCTCCCTCTCTCTGATTCACAGTACTGCTTGGTCATACCACAAGGAAACCTGGTTTTTAAAGTGGAAAATAACTGCAAACAGGACATTATGAAATTTGGACTATTACTGCACACTCAAAGACAGTGCAGTTCTTAGGGACACAGTGTGCATACATCCCTGGCATCCCATAATTAACCTGTGACACCCAAGTGACAGCAGGGCTTGTTCTGCTGAGTGTCACTGCTCCCCACAACAAAGAAGCGGGGCTGGGGCTGCGGGGTCTCTGCAGCTTCACAGCCTGAGTGACACGGCAGGACCCGCAGGCAAATGCAGCCCGTTCATGTGTAACTTCATCGCAGATACTGAAATGAGGCAACGAGAGCCCATCTCCGCTCCAAGGGCTGCCAACACCCTGAGAAAAGCAGGAATTACAGCCACTCACAGGGCCTCGCTCGGGGGGGACACGAGACAGCCCCAGCCCCGCACCGGCCGCGCCCGCAGAGCCCCAGCGGTGCCCCCGGGGCTGTGCCCGGCTGCCCACGGGAACCCCGCGCACACGGCGGGGGCGAACGAGCCCAACGATCCCCGTATCCAGGCGGCGGCGGCGGCACCGCCGCATCCCACCGAGGGCTTCCCGGGCGCTCCAACCCGCTCCCGGGGGTAGCGGCCCCGCCGCCGCCTCCCGCACCGCTCCCCCCCGCCCGCAGCCCGCCCCGCACTGCCCCGGCGCCCCCCCCGCCTCCGCCACCCCCGGCCCCGCTGCTGCGGGCTCAGCGCAGGCCCCCTCCCGGCCCCGCTGTCCCCGTGCCCCGGCCCGGCCCCGCACACCCCGGGCACCCCCCAGCGCCCCCCGTTGCCGGCTCCCCCCGCTCCCTCCCCCCGCGCCCGCCGCTCCCGCCGCCCCCCGCGGCCCGGCCTGCCCCGCTCACCGTGTGCGAGTGCAGGCTCTGGCTCGCCTCGATCTGCGCTGTCAGCGGCACCGTGTCGTCCAGCAGCACCTTGCCGGCCGGCGGCTTCTCCATGAAGGCCATAGCGGAGTGGGGAGCGGGAGAACCGGCGCCGCCAACCCGCTTCCCGGGGCTGCTCCCGGCGCGGCCGCCGCTGTCAACACGGCAGCGCCGCCGCCGCCGCGGGGCCTTAGCGCCGCCGCACGCCGCTGCCCCCGCACGCCGCCAGGGGGCGCCGCGTCCCCCCCCCCCCGGGGGCGCCACGGGTTCGAATCCCGGTCCCGCGCCGGGAGGCGGCGGGATGGGGGACACGGGGAGGTTCGTCCCCGGGAGCAATAAAGGGGAAGGAGCGGGGGCCAGAGCGCAGGTGGCCGTCCCGCCGCCCAAGCCTTCCACGCCCGGTGCTCCGGTGGCACCGACGGCAGTGGTAGTGGCATGTAAGGCAGCAACCCCGAGACACTGCTGGCCCTCCCAGAGGACAACAGAAGAAGGCTGGTGCACTTGCTGCTCTTTACCTCTTGGGGTGGTTTTTTGTGGTTAAAAGATCACAAAATAATCAAATAGCATCCAGTAACTCCTACTCAATTTCTAGATTTTAGTGTTTGGGTTTGGTTTTTTTCAGAAGACATTTAAAGTTGTTCAACTGAGTTCCACAACCTGGCTTTCATTGCAGAAGCATAAAAAACTTTCTATTTCAGTACTACGTAGCACTTGGGAACCTACAAGTTGGACACTTGTCTGCATTTCCTTTTGTCTTTTTACACCATACACAGGAATTACTTTCACTTAAGATGTTGTAAGTAAGACCACAGAGCTGGAGTTTTTTGTACACTTGTCTTGCAGCTCCCTGTTGAGAGGAAAAGGGGCTGTGTGGTGTGGTTCATTAGCTGAATCTCAGGCTGGAACAGCAATCCTGACTCCCCAAACTACTCCTTGTGCCATGATCCAGGAGGTCAGGCACAGATTTGATTCATTTTTTTTAACAGATATTAACACATCAACTTCCCACCTGGAGAGGAAGGTGAATAAGAAACAGAGAAAGGAGTATGCCTGCTTTGGGAAAGTGTTTTACACAGCACAAGCCAGTGACAGACAGTGACCCGAGGCAGAAGGAAACGGGAAGTGAAGCAGCTCCTACAAACAAGAGATAAGGAAAGCTCTCTCTAACTACTGCTTCCAGGTTGTGAAGAGGCCAAACACCAGGCTTTGGAAACAGAGGGCATGGAGTCAAACACCTTAAATGTTACCCCTCCCTCTGCTCCAGTGTGACTAACACCTGAGGTTAGAGTGCAGCACACTCAGGCAGTGCACCTGTTTTACCAGTAATTTTCATTACAGGTTGAGGACAAACTCTCTTTTCACAGCAAACAACTTCTGAGGTTATTTGCAGTCAAGGAAAGTTTCAAATGCATTTCTGCTGCACAGAAGATAGAAAGGATAACAGATGCTTTGCCAGAAAATTATAAGCCACCAACTGAAGGCCTTCTTCCTGATGGCATTGATCATTCCTGAAAGAAGTCTCTTAGTGTATAATGATCTTATGCTGGTAATGAATTTACCAAAAGCCTATTTTAACAAGGTCCTTTCAGTGGGCAAGGAGGAATACATGTTCACACAGACAAGCAAGCAGAGAGAAGCCATACAGTTAGTACTCAACTCATATGTCCCTGCTTGTCTTGCCCTCAGGAGCACAAATACAGTAAGCACAAGTTGTGACAATATTTTTTTTTAAAGGCTCCTTCACTCTGCTTCTGGGAGGCAAATTTCAGAGGAAACACCCACAGGAGTCATGCAGATTACAACACATCCTGCAGTACACGTGTGTCAGTACCTCCACTTCTGTCCCACTTGTTAAATGCAGCATTGTCCCCTCCCCTGGAGCTTGTTGGCAATACAACTGCTTTGTACAAAAGGAACAAGTTTTAACTGAACTTTGCTGGTGTGGACTGTGATTTTGCCAGAAAGAACAGCCTCAGCCACTCCAGAATTCCCACTGTAGCAGAGCAATGGCTTGTCTAAGCCACTTTTCCTCTTTTGTCACAGTAAGTACGTAGTTCTGCTGGTTTCACTTTGACAATACATAGAGGAAAATGAAAAGTTTTAAGCTTAATGCAGCTCTATCAGGATTAAGTTTGTACACTGTCTTTCAAGCATTTTTTGTTGCAAATTTACTGGATTGAGTGATGTCACGTAAAAAGACAAAATCAAAACCAAGAATTTCTGGCCTTTACAGTAAAGTAGCACAGGCTGAACAGCTCTAACTGTCCGGCACCATGACTTTCACCATCCCTTCCATAACAGTCTTCCCACTTTCTCTGACCTGACATGATACTGAAATGTGTGCAATAGAACCCTTCAGCCGTTTCACTTCTGCTGCAGCTGTGACTTCTTCACCAATATACAAAGGAGCTGGAAACCGGATCTCCTGGGAGAGAAATATACACCCTTGACCAGGCATTTTAGTACCTAGAACTGCAGAAATAAGTCCATTGATCAGAACTCCATGTACAACAGTTCTCCCAAACCTAGACTTCTTTGCAAACTCTTCATTTAAATGCAAAGGATTTGTGTCACCTGTTAAGTAGGAAAAAGTAACAACATCATTCTGTGTAAAAGCTTTGGTAAGTTCAGCTTTGTCTCCAACTTTTATGTGTAAACTTTGAAGTACTGGATGTCCAAGCAGTGAGTTGATAAACGTTAGCTTTGTCAAGGCTCTTCGTCGGAACATTCCTCCAGAAATTCCTCGCCTGAAGGGCTGCAACATCTCCAGAAACTTCTGCTTCGTACAACCAAACCAACAACCGCATTCAGTCTAGGACTAGTTCTCTGCTGTTGCCAGATAATGCGAGAAGAAATGGAGATGTCTGTTTCGGGGAAAGAAAAAACAAACAAGAACAAACTAAAGCCTTGAAAAAAAATCACCATCAAATGCACTCAAATGTGAAAATACCTAAATTTTCCTTTTACATGAAAGCTATGCCCTGGCAGATTTTTGTCCAGCCATGGCTTCAGAGACAAAGAATTCTCAGAATTCCTTTTATTAAGCAGCATCCTCTAGAAAAAAATAAGCTCTGGAAGTGCATGTTTGTAAGGTCTGTCAACAGTGATTATTAGAAAGGGAAGAAATGGGGCAGAGGAAATAAAAGACAGGACCAAGATGTGGACAATAAACAAAACCTGCCAGAAATTATTTTCTTGCAGGTGCATTAATGACATCGGGACTTGTCAGGGGACTGAAACCATAAAGTAATGAGACAGCCTCTACCATCACATTTTACAAGATTCATTATAAGGTGAGAACTGCTCAAACACAGGCCCACACACCTGCACTTAAACGCATTTCACTCCCAAACCAAGGCATTTTTGCATCTAGGCCACCTCTCTGTGAAGAGACAGCATGCTCAGACAGACAGCCAAGTTTAGAGCCAGAACTGACATCTGGGGGAAGCACCAAGCCCTGCAGGGCTTTACCTGCAGCACCCGGAAGGCACACCTCCTGTTCTGGTAGAAGCCCAGCAAGGTTAGAGCACTCCACAGCTTGACAAGGCCACTTAGTAAAACAAAAATAAAATATACTATTAAAATTTCATTTTATCAGTTTTCCTGCAACATAAACATCTTAAATAAAAATAACATTACACTAAGAGTAATGACATCTTAATTGAGTTTAACAGCAGGTAAATTCACCAATAAGTTCTAGTAGCAACACTATGTCCTGAAGGGGTATTGCAGTGGCTGCAGTCTCTTGTCTTTCACACACAGATATGTAATGTAACCTCTTCAAGATCACTTTACCAGTTCTTGTGCTCTCTGTGCATTTAAGCTCCTTCTGCCCCTAAATCACCTGCAGTTGTCTTCACTATTTACAGTAACCATTCTGATCTTTTACTGTAGAAAGAGATCTAAAGCCACACATTTCAACGGTGCTTAGTTCCTGTCTTAAACCATTTAAACCATTCAGGTTTAAAGCAGGAATAACATTGATGCAAGAAGTTACCAAGCCTTAGTAATTACTTTCTGCATGCTGATCGTAAATATCTGCAAGTTAGGGTTAATTCTTCAAAGACTATTCTTAGTTTAGAACTTCTGGCTTTCTTACAAAAAATATTTTCATAGCAGTATCAGAAGTGTGTACCGACTGCACCTTACCTGCTAATAACTCTTAATATGGCAGACAGAGTTTTTTCCTCATATGTTAAGACATCAACAGGCAAAGCTGCTCCAACCTATGAAAAAAATGTTATTTAATAAGTTCCATTCTATTCTCTTATAGTGGGTTATAAGCAAGTGATTTCACTCCCAGCATGTGACATCATGTTATAGTTAAACTCAAATCTCAAAGGAATATTTCAGTTACAAATAAACAGCACCTTTTCTCTCAGAGTTCTTTAGCTAGAAGCCACTTATTTCCACATTACAGCTGGAAAAACATGGACCCACAAGTGATGTGACCTGATTAAAGTTACCCAGCAATACTGTAAACAGAGCAAGAACAGTAGTGTGGATTTCCCATCCACAAAGCTTTTCCCTACATATAGTTCTCACTCTAAAGCCTCCCTATAGCAAAAGCATCAATACTTCAAATTCTAAAAACCAGATATAAAAGAATGGTTTGAGTTGGAAGGGACCTTAAAGACCATCTCGTTCCAACCCCCTGCCACGGGCATGGACACCTTCCACTAGACCAACGTGTCCAAAGCCCCCATCCAGCCTGGCCTTGAGAACTTCCAGGGATGACTGGAGCCACTCCACCACGGACACTAAACTGAGACGTGCAGCCCAGCACCACCGGGAGCAATTATAACGTGGGCTGGGGAGCAGGTCCGGTTACGGGAGCAGCAAACCGAGGACACTTCTCCCTCCTCGCCTGCCCCTCGGCCCGTGCCCTCCGCTCGGACACTGCTCTGCTGTGCCGGGGGACAAAGGGCAGGCAACCGGCCGCTCCCCCAAGGCTCTCCCGGCCCGGAGCCGCCGCCGAGAGACGGACCCCGACCCCAATCCCGATCCCGATCCCGGTCCCACCTCTCCGTGCAGCTCCCTCAGCGCCGACACCACCAACTGCTTGAACTGCGCGGCGTTCGGCCGGGCCCCGCCGTCGGGCAGCTCCCTGCGGGAAACAGAGCAGAGAGGGGTCTGAGGGGGGTTTGAGGGGGGTCCGGGGGCGGTCGGGGGGTCTCGGGGGGTGGGCGGGGGGGCTCACAGGCGCACGCGCAGATAGTGGTGCCGGGCCGCGCTCCGCAGCACGCGCCGCTCGAACGCGGCCGGCGGCGGCTCCGCGCGCGCCGCCATGGCCCGCCCGACCCCGCCCCCCCGGCGCGCGCCTCCGACCGGCCAATGGCGGCGCGGGGCCGCGCGCCCGCCCCTTCTGTACGGCGGCCGCGCGTGGTCAGCGTCGCCATGGTAACCGCGCGGCGCGGCCGCGGCCCCACCGAGGGGGGACACCCAAGCGCAGCCCTGCAGATGGGCAGCGTCGGGTCTGACATGCACCTCGGGGAAGCTGAGGGAACAGATGGTGTTTCCAAGTGCTACACGCGAGGTTTTCGCTTCGGAAAGGCAAATATTGAGCGCTGCGCCACAAACACGCTGTTGGGAGAGCGGCACGCAGAGATGCTCCTTCGCTTCCCCTTCAAACAAGTGTGGTGGTCGCGATGCAGTTCCCGAGGCAGCGTGGTCCCGGTGAAGGTGATGCCTGGCACCGTGACAGGTCACAAACACTGAGGGCACTGTGTTATCCCAGCCTCTTGTTTTGCAGTACACGCAGCTGAAATAGATTTGAGAAGTGCACAGCACGAGGCTGGCAGATCAACACCTACTTGAGAAGGTAAAATAACACAATTTCAGTACCTTGTACCTGATCTAAAAACTGGTGTGAACTATATCCTCGGGAGAGAAACAGCAGAAAGGATAGAAGTATCTCTGCTCCGCCGAAATGATGAAACATTAGCCCCGGCAAAAGAACTTCACAAGGTCCTCCTTCTTTTACAAAAAGGTTTACCTAGGAATTGGTATCAGCGGCAGCAGGATAACACTGCAATAGCCTGATCTGATGTTTGAGTCATGGCCCAACTCAAAGGACACCAGTTGCCTCTGCCATCACACTGCTCAGTCTGTGCAAAGGTCCTGTGCTATTCCAGCAGAGCTTTCTCATGTTTAGCACCACAATCCACCTGAACTCCACTCCCAGACTCACTTAAAAACTGTACATAAAACACCAGACATTCAGAAAAAAATACTTCAGCAAAAGCAAGTATTATTTCACATGTACCAAAGTAATTTTCAGGTTGTTAGTTAGGTTAAATAAAAGGCAGCTGTAAAATTCAGTACATGTAAGTGCAGGCCAATAAGAGACCCTCAGGAATATAATGTTTCTTGTGGAAACCAAGAACCAGTTACTGCAATGCTCAATAAATCAGTTCTATGATAATTTGGCAAGACTTAATCAGAGCAGCCAGTTTTATTGGGACCGACAATAATACCTACAGAAGTTGGTATTACTTTTAAGATTAGTAAAATTTTATCGCCAAACAGCAAAACTTGGAGGTCAGGTGCTGTATAAATCTCTTTTGGTTATTGCAGTAGGGCGAGTGCTGCTCTCCATGAGGCTCTGGCAACAGGAGCTACAGGACCTGAGCCACCCCAAGTGCATCCAGGGAGCTGCTGTAAGGCTGGGGCTGTGTCAGCTGCAGTGAGTCAATAACAAGCACACACAGGACTGTACAGGAAGGCTGGACACAACAGGTCAGTTTTTTATTAACCAAAAGTGAAGCTGAACCCCAGAGTGGTTTAACTTGTTAAAACCATATGTTTTTATATGGCAGATATTTTTCTTTCATGTTCAACACTACAGTGCAAGAACCAAACTTCGCAGCTGTTCATCCTTTGAGAATCAAGTACTAAAAGTAAAATGAATTAAAGTAAGGGTCCCTCAATGAATAATTAAAAAACCATTTAACTCAAAAGAACAGACCAATTTTAAGAACTGTCTTATTAAATTTTCCCAAGTGAAAGACCTTTAAAAGCACTTGGAGCCTTGAGGTAGCAACTTTATGCAGAATTCAATTCCCCTCCTGCCCCACAGAGGAAAATTAGTAGCGCATTATTAGCTCCAGCCAGCTAAGCTGAGTGTCTCCTGTGAGGTTAGTGACTTTCTCTTGCCTCTTGAAATAGCAGTGGAGTGCTGCAGAGCTCCAGGAGGAAATCCACAGGGAAGGCCCCTTGAAATAAAATATATGGTTTGAAAAAAGTTAAAATTATCAGCAATAACCATAACAACAAAAATTATCTGGAGTGAAAAAACCCGACGTGTTTGTATTTTGGCAAGACTAGTTTACAAATACATGTCGAGAACAAGAGTTTGCTTTCAGCCAACAAAAAAGAAAGAATGGAAGTGACATTCAAAGGGATTTCGGGTTTTGTTACCCTCTGTGCAAAATTGCACTTTGTTTTTAAAGTTTTATTTTAAAGTTTTAAGTTTTGCACTTTTGTTTCTAAAAATAGAGCACTTTTGCCCTTTGTTGTTCTTTTACATTTTGAAACCTGTGCTGTGACATTAGACAGAAATACCATATGCCAGGATTTTTGACCACTGAAAGCTCCTCTCACTGACTTCACCACAATCACAAGCAGGGGATCACAAACAAGAGACTTGTCTTCCTCTGGGTCTCGAAGACATGATCCTCTGTGCCCACTTTGCTGCTGAGTTCTTTTATTAAAAACTAGATCTCTCTCTAGTGCCAATTTCAGAGACTCCATGGCAGATTTACTGAACACTGAGCGGTAACAAAACACCTGGGCTTGTTCTCTACAACAACTGCGATGAACAGTCAAAGTGAAAAGGAATGAGCTGAGATACAGCTCAGCTCATGGAGCAGGATGGGGCAGATGGTCACAAACAGATGCTCCACTTACTCCCTGCACCTTCCATCTTTGCTCACTGCTGGTGCTCTAACCAGATTCCTGCCAATATTGAGTATCACACCATCTTCATGCTCCAAAACTGTACAGAACAGGTTGGTTAAACCACACCAAACTAATCAGGCATATTGCACATTATAGCTCTTAAATGGATTCAGCTTTCTTAGCTCATTCTCTTTCAGCTCAAGGTCAGCTGCCTTTCTACACCATGGAATGCTGCTGCACAGACCCTGGGTGCAGGATAGCATTGCCCACTATGCCTTTGCTCCAGGGAGCCCAGAGAAAAGCAAAACTTCAAACACTTGTTCTTGCTCACATGGGATCCCAATTTTCTGATTTTATATTCTCATCTTTTCCTTTGACTTCTAGAAGCCATCAAATCCTCCCTTCCAGGCAGAAATATCTCAAGAATCTAACATCTGGTTTGCCTGGTTTTTGGTTAAGCTTCAAAACAACTGCCCATGTTTGCCTGTGCTGAGGTTACAGTCTTGTCCTGCAAGAGAACCAAAGGCTGTAAGAACCAGAATCCATCTGTAAGGCAGCCCAACCTGCCAGGCTCCTTTGGATAAAGGAGAGGATATTCTGCCTGGGAGCAACAAAGGCCAGCTGGTGATTATTCACAGCAATTTTCTATTTAGTTCACATGACAGTTTAGGCAGCACAGAAACTCACGCTGGTTCAGAGACCGGTTTATGTCTGGTTCACAGGACAGTCACGAGCTAGCTTCAGAAAGACTCCTGTCATGGACCCCAAAGTGTCTAAAAGTTAAATCTGTTATCATTGCAAGAACCTGATGAGTGAGTTTTTTTCATCTCTTCTTGGGATTTTTTTTGTTTGTTTGTTCTGAGTTTCTTAGGGCTTTTGTTTGCTTTTTAATTCTGTAATCAAAAGAATTATTTTTGTCTTTGGTGTTAAACCTTGGAAGCATGAATGAGAAGTACCTGCTGCTTCTTTGGCTGTAATTTATGACAAAGAAACAGCCGAGGAAAGCAAGGGAAATTCACTGTTCTAAAATACATGCAGTTAGAACAGCCACTAGACATCACAACCAGGACTTTAATAATATGGAAACACCGAGATCAGTGGTGTCCATTACAAATCATTTGCATTATATAAAAATATGACTGAAATTACAGTAACTGGACAACAGCCATTCAAATTGATCAACTTTCCATCTTGCTCATATTGCAGGAAATGGGAGGAAAATCCATTGGGGGGGGCGGGGAAGTGTCCAGAAATCAACTTAGAGTTGCTGCTAAGCATCTCGTGCCTCAGAGAAACATCCACTGTGATAACTAAAAGCAGGAATTCAAGATTAGCATCCTTCCATTCTTGCTCACATGGCCATGAATAAAAAGAGCAGGTTTTGTTACACTAGCATTCACAATTAAAATTTTATAACCCCATAAAACACCAGTACGTTTTGCATGAGCTGCGGAAGAATGCAAATTCAAAGGGTCACTAGATTTATTACCTCCAAAATCAATGTCTTAATATAAATATTCTGTTTGTACACCATAAAAATGTCCTTCTTATGGTCTGATTCTTATTTAGATAATACTCTGATAAAATCTCAGCCATATGCCAATTAAGGTCATTAAAGCTATAGAAACAAGAATCTACCTAATAAATGCTGCAAATTTAACAGGTATTTTAGATAAACATGATTAGCTTAGTTATCACCTAGACCAAAAAGACTCCTCAAACACACCAACTGCGTAGTTAGCAAAGACATTTGCTTTACAAAGTCAAATGTTGCCAACTTTTGAAAAGTTTAGCAAATCAATGTGGTATTTGGAAGCAACCAAGTGTCTAATGAAGTTAGAATACTGTGAAATGTTAGGACTGGGGGAAGCTCCTGTAAACAAGTACAGAAGTAGTCTTCATTTAAATTACAAAACATTCACCTCCTTAAAAAGCTTTAAAACTGACCCAGTCAACAACTGTGCCCTGGGAAATCTAGCAGTATAAAGGATCTCTGTAAGCAAGAGAAGGTCATACGTTGTGATCTCACCACCATAAAATGTACTCAGTGTCAGGAACAAGGAGCAAGTTTGGGGAGATGACAATTATGACACTTTCAGGCCATTTGATCTGAACCACTGCACTTTTTTGGGCAGCATAGAGTAAAACAATTTTCTTTGCTGCTCAGAAAACACTTAAAGTATAGTAATGCTTCATTTTCTGCATCTGGTTGCTAAGCAGACTCTCCTATGTCCCCAGCTCGGTTTACTTGGTTTAAAGAGCTATTTAGTACCTGCCACTTTCAGCAGGTGGACAGAAATTTCAGTGCCATCTTATTCACTGGCTCCATTGATATTTTAACTTCAAACCCAGATGCTACAATTAAAAGCAAATTTGACATTGTGTAAGGAAAGCATCAGATGAAGGTAATAAGTCCATGAAAGGCCTGTATTCCACAGGCTGCCTCTGCAGAACAGGCAACCTCCCACTACAGAATCTGATTGGAAAATTTATCCCAACAGTAACACTCAGAAGGAAGGAGGCTTCTATATCTTGCACACTTTGGGTTTCATATCAGGCACTTGAACTGTTGGACAGATGCCATTCTGAACCAAGTAAGTGAACATAGGGTTAGAATCATCTTTAATCTAGGTCTAATAATGAAGTATCAGCAGCAAAGTGGAGGCAGGGAGTGAGCAATCCATCTGTGCTGAGACTTGTTTATGGTTTCTAAAATGCCCAAGAAAACAGCAGCAGTAACTGTTCCATAGTGTCCGTTGTCCTTGTGAGTTGTGTTGCTGATAGGAGGCTTTTCTGTGTCTTGAACTAAGAAGGCATTGAGGTACCCTGTGCCTAATTCCCTGGATCCAACAGGTCCATGCTAGAGCCAAACATTGCCACCAGTTGCTCCTCATAATGCGTTATATTCCTCTTCATAATGTCCATGCAGGGTCCAAGCAACCGCTCAAATGCTTGCACATCCATGACTGCAAAGGAACACGATCATTTGTCAAAAAGGACACCACACACCAATCAGGTTTTTAAACTCAGAACAGACCTCCAGTCCAACCCACTCAGGTCAGAAACAGAAATCATGTCTCTGATTTCCCTCTGTACTGTTATTTGTAGAAACAAGATTAATGAAATACAAACCTGACCTCGAGGACAAATACAGAAGCAAAATACATCCCACACTGGCATTAAAAGATCACCTGAAGGGTATGTGTGACAAACAAGCTGTACACAAGAAGCCAATGCCCTTCAGAGAGTACACACAACTCACGCAGAAAATAGAGAATCTGCCATAAGGAAGCAGAGGTGCTTCTCTGACTTCCATGGGAGCCCTGCTCCAGCCCCTGCCCCTGCCTTCTGGTGTCTGACTGCCAGTTAGCAAAAGGTTGCTGGTTTTGAATAGCTGCTCACTCAGGCATGCTCCATGAGACAAGCAAAGACCAGAAAAGGGTAACTAGAAACACAGAACATCTGCTTACCTAAACATTTGACCTCCCCAACAGCATAGGCAGAGGCTGCTCTGGGTTTGTTGGTAACAAGTGCAAGCTCTCCAAAATACTGCCCTCTGTGACACCGGGCAATCTCCACTTCTTGGTTAGCTTCTTTACTCGTCATAGTCTGTCAAACAGTGCAGTTTCATTATTTGCACACAGTTCTGTCCTTGTGCAAGGCTGCAGTTCACCCCAACATACCTTACACACATGCAACAGCTCATTGGTTTAGGGGCTTTAACCTGGAGATTCCCAAGTCATGGTCTGTGCTGGTCAAACACCTCAACACCATGATAAGAAGAGCATGTGCCAGCCCATAAGTGTTGAGACTGGCAGGTATTTACTGTTAAATCAATCTAACACAGCCTTTATCATCTTCCACAAGCTGTTCCCCAAGGCTGCTTTAAATGCCAACATCCAGTATGTCACTAGAGATAACAGACCTCACTTTTTCTAAGCTACAGTTTTCTGTAATGACAAAAGAAAAGTTTCATCTCCACCCTTAAGGCCAGGGAGAGTATATCAGGTTAGTTTGCAGAGCAGCAGACAGAAGCAAAAGACTTTTCTACTTGAGTAAACTAACTTCAGGTATGGGAATTTACAACCGTCATCACATGAGTAATGATGATAAACATCACAAAATAATATATTAAAATAAGTCAGGGTAGGCTTTTTCATATCTCTTGTATTAATCAATAGAATAAGGGATTGACCTAAACCCTAATCACTCAATTTGCACTCACCTTGCTTTTAATCAAGATTTTTACTTCACCAGATTCTACAATGTAAAAACAATCTGCTTTATCGCCCTGTGAAGAGGAAAAGGTAAAATAAATTATTTTTTACTTGACTTATACATACTTGAAAGTATGTATAAAGGGTATTAACTCATTCACTTTGAACTAGGCCTTGTGCAGAAATCTGCTAGAATTGACAAACATTCAGATTCCTAACATTAAAAGGTGACCGGTTGGATAATACATTAGAGGAACCCACAAGAAAGTAACTATTAGTGCATGTCATCCAGTGAGAGGGCAGGAGGAAAGGGAAACACAAAGGAGATTGATGATATAAAGCAAAATCACGAAAGTGCAAACCTTCTGCTCTTGACAGAAGTAGCCAGTTGTGAAACTAAGCAGAGCCTAGAATTTCTATAGGCAAATTTTAATAAAACACCAATTTAGTGACTGTGTTTCTAGATGTCAGCAGGAAAAAAGATCCATTAAACTAAGTATGAGCTCAGTCAATTCACGGTAAAATAGCAGGAGACAGAAGAACCCAGAATAGCTGCATTTGAGGAGCACAAACATAGAAAGGAAGAGGAGGATAGTTTACAGAAAGGCAAGTCCACAATGCAACCCATCTACATGAGGAATGATGCAATGGCTCCATAGAGGTAGTGAGAATGGTAAGGAATAAAGCACTCAGCATCATGTCATTAAAGGAAAATCAGTCACATAGGGGCAAGTGGGAGAAAATAAAAACTGATAGCCATTTTATATCAAGTTCTAGAAAGATACCACAAGGTGCTGTTGAATGACTGGGTGTGAATTAAAGAACTGTGATTTAGTCCAATCCAGCTGTTTCTATGAAGAAAGCACTGTGAGTGACCAAGCACACCCAGAAAGGTACTGAACTCTGTTCTTTGGGATATTCAAAAGTGATCTGAACACAGCCCTGGGCAACAGGCTCTCCGTGGTCCTGGCTGAACAGGGGGGTTTGGACAAGGTGACTTCCAGAGGTCCCTTCCGACCTCAATCATTCTGCAATTCTGTGAGAGTTTCTAGAACCTTCTTCACATCTCTCAATCCCCACCCCATTGCAAACCTTCAGCAGATCCCAGTTTACATCTGCTCTGGAGAGCTTTGCCAGCACTTAATTTCAAAGTTTCATCTGTGACAGAGAGGACTTTCCCTCTCTGTATCAGCCCCTGTGGGTTTGGCATAGGGCTGGAAGTCAGAGCAGAGACCCAGCACATGCCTCCTGCTATAAATCACAAGCAAAGGGACTAAAGGCTTCAGGGAGACAGAGGCTGGAAAAAGAACTGATAAGGGAATGGGAGCAGCTCAGCAAAAAAACCTGAAATAAGAGAGATAAATCTGACATTAAGTCAAGTGGGCAAGGAGATGATGAATGTGATGGGAAGAATGGAGGGAGATAGTTACAACCAGAGTATGAAACATGGGCTGGAAGAAAATGATGCAAGATTTAAACAGAGTTACAGAATAAATTAGGCCTTTAGCTGAGCTTCCTGGAGGTGGTCATAAGTCATCCAGTGCAAAGCTTTTCATTCACCATTGCCATCTATCACAACATGAGCTAATACTCCCAGCACACTTCTGAAAGAGTAAGTACTTAAATAATACTTTTTCTAACAGAATGGAAATAAACTGAGTGGGAGACATCCTCGTAACACTACTAACAATTTTGAAGTGCTTTAAAGCTTACTGCCCTTAACTGAAGGGCCAAATTCTAGAAGGGTAATTAAAATATAAAATTATTCACAAGAGAAAAGGAGGAAAGGTGTTCGTGGAATTGATGCAACTGCTGCAATGTAAGAGTTACCATATCTTTCCCAAGCTTAGAATTCCATCAGCTCTAGCAGTGTACCACCAGACCTATTCAGACTATTAATCCTCCTTTTAAGGATAATTACATCCTTGTCCTTAATTCAGTTATTACAAAAGATTAAAACCAACTGTGTAATTGGATCACTGATGGTGTGAGTTCCCAGTTTTGAGACTTATTTATAAGCTCTGATTTTGCTGAGAATTCAGTCTTCTCAGAGTCTTAAGCAACAAGAGTTTCAACTTACAAAACAGGGTATTTTTGGAGAGAAGTAATTTGACAGTATTTGCTTATCAGCAAACTAAAGTTTCCTGCATCCACTTATCTGACATTGCAAGTAATTAAGATTAATTATTCAAGACATTATCAAGGAGTCATATTCTGTTTATAAAACAAGAACAATGGTTGTAACCAAAAACCTGCAATTGCAGGTAAGCCAAGGACTTTTCTGAATTCACTTCTACTTGAACTGCAGCACTTTTGCAACACAGCAACCCCAAGCTAAACTTGACACAAAATCCCATTGTTTCATCAGTAACAGTGTTCCAAAAAGTTATTTGTGTCACAGCCAAAAAAAAAATAAAAAAAAAAAATCACACAGCTTTAGCTTGAGTTCATCCAGCTTCATGTTCCACCACTCCAGCCTTGATCTGCTGCAGCAGACAAAACATACACCAACCACCAAAGGCTGTCAACTGAGCCAGACCACACCACTGAAATACTCTTTCTAAAAGCATCAGGAAGAACAGTGGTTTTAGTTAACCCTGATAGTTCTTAGAATAGTAAACTGGGTTGGGTCCAACATGTATTGAATTGTTTGTTTCTGTTGTTCAGTCAGACCTAGGCATTAGAGATGCCTTAACTACATGCTTGTGATTCCTTTTTTGATCTGGTCATAGGGGCCTAGGAAAAGTCTAGCTGGGGGCTTTCATGGGAAACTGCATAGGCAGAGATTTAATTTCAGCTTCTGAAGGCACACTCCCCTTGAAACCTTGCAAAGACCATTTAGAAAACACAGGTAAGAGAAGAAATACCCAGAAGCTAAAGTGGTAGAATAAATTTGCAGCAAAATACATACTGTCCATTCCCCAAACATTCAAGAAGTGATTAAATAAATTGGAAGTATTAAAGAATAAGTGCCAAGTTGGTCCAAATAATAAGATTCTATAAGTCAATTCCACACACAAAAAAAAAAGAAGCAGAGAAAGGAGAATGATAAAGAGAAGTTTAGAGTTCAAGTACCTGAGAAATGATACGTTCCCCATCTTGGTACACTTTCTCTCCTATAACATCCACTATCTTCATTCGCTCTGATGCCTGGAACAAAGAGGAAAATTAGAAACAAAAATCAATTATAGCTCATGTCTGTGAACTCTCCTGAATCTCTGTGGTCTCTCCTGAAATGAAGAGGTATTCACTAGACACACAAACACACAATTTATAAATATAGCCCCAAAATGACATGGTCATAGTACTGCAACACAGTTCACAAGATACCATAATCAACAGGGAAAGAAAATTGTCTAATGTCCCATCCCTGTGCTTTCCTTACCTGCAAAGTTAAAAATTAACTGATTTGCCCGTTTAGAGCAATAAGGCAGGGAGGAGGGGAAATCACTTCCTTAAATATTCAGTTGAAATTTGAAGAAAGCACTCAGAAAAATGTCATAAACTTACTACCTTACACTAGCAATATCATTTCAAAACATTTTAATGACTTTATAGTTGAATATGTAGGGGGTGGGGTTTGTCCCAAAACTCATTCCTAGAGTGGCAAGGAAGGGAATATGAAAAGGACAAGGGCTGTGAAGCATGAGCAGGCACTGCAGCCAGGATGCCCAGCAGCAAGGGCAGGAGACCCTATCTGACATGCCACAGAACAGCCTGAGTCTTCATAATCAGGAAGGGGAAAGAGAACAGCTACAATTATCTCCTGTGTTTCCCACAGCCCATCTAAAACCCCACAAAACAATTTTATTGCTTCAGAGCAGCATAAAAAAAAATACCAAGAAAGGAAGAAAACCCTGCTGTTAAAATTCAACAGATGATTCAGTTGTAATCAATCCATTCATTCCCCAAATGCACCTTAATCTTGCCTATGTTTGAGAAATCAAAATCTGGTCCACGCATGATTCAACTGCAATGTGTCATGCAAAAAGCCATCCTAGTGCTAATGAGTTATTTTTCTGTATCTTTAAATATTTGAGTCACTTCTGTTCTCAAAAAAAAGGCACACTGATGGAACCAGTTTAAGCCAGGCACTGAGGAAGAAGGTGTTGTGTAATTTACCCCTTCCACAGCTACAGTATATGTCCAAAATCACATGTATTAGAGGTTGTTATTCACACCTAATGATACTTGGCAATTTTGTAATCTTCTCCCAAAGGCATAAAGAGTTTTTCTCAAATACTAAAGATAAATCATGAGAAAGATTTTTTTATCATGAGAACACAAAGAAAAGCTAAATTATGATGTAAGGCAAGGACAGACACATACTAATGTCAAAGCAGGTTGGTCAGTTGAAAGAGCCCTCTGAAGATACAGGTTGAGTCAACAGAAGTGACAATTGGCACATTGTTCCTGAAGTTATGCCCCACACACACCAATGTAACACCTGTCATTGTGTTCCCAGCTAGATAAAAATCAGCAACTTGCTTACTGTGAATAAAGGGTCTGAAAAAAAAAAGCAATGTACAACTTCAACAGTGCAAATTAAGTTGTGTAGTAAATGTGATACCAAAGCGGCTCTTAATATTTTGTTCTAAGCAAAAATAACACAGATTTCTGACACAGCAGAAACAATGTCTGTGGAGCTATTGCTAATGCAAGAATTTGATGTAGATGTCTCTGAGAAGCTTTACCTCCAAGGATTTAAGAAGGGGCACAGACTCAATAAATAATTCATACGTCTTCCTCTTCTTTGCGTTATTTTTCAGTATAATTCTTCTGAATGTCACTCGATCCTGCAAGAAACAGCACAGAGAAATACATTATTTCTCTTCACTTAAATGTTCCCTGTTTAAAGAACTGACAAACATGAACTAGTATTTACAGCAAACGCTGGGGTTGAGAAACCAGCTGTTAAAATGATACCATATCCACCACAACAGTGACTGCAACAGCTCCTCTGAAAGCACTTCTGGGAATAACAAATTGAAAAACAGGGAGCTGTACGATCTGATTCTCCTCAGATAAGCATTCAGGAATTCAGTTTTTGGTCTATCTTGTACTGTTTTTCAGGGTTGAGTTTTGAGGTTTTCTTTGCCTGTTTGTGAATATCTTTCATGCTTCTGCATACAACCAAGTTTTGCTCTTTCTGCTGACGGCAGTGGAAACTGGAATTTCTAAGACTTAAGGCAACTACAGGACTAAGTGTAAATTGGATTCTTCTCTACTTGAGCCACAGATTTCAAAAGTAAGTCGGAGATTTACACTGCTCTCAAACAGATCAGGAACAGAACATGGAACAGCAGCAGGCTTGTTCACTCCTCCACCTTCTCGGATCCGAGAGCCAGCTTTTACAAGGACCACTTCCTAACTGCCACCTGTCCGTGTGTTCCATAAGGAAAAACTGTTCGGCGTGGTTTTGGAGCCCAAATTTGGGGCAATCTCCCCCCTCCCAGCCCAGCCCCGCCGGCCCCCGCGCTGCGCTCCAAGGCCACTGGGCGGCGCTGCGGGCCCGGCCGAGCCCCGCGTCCCGGCGGGAACAACGCGATCCTTTCCCGCACGGGAAAGATGGACTTGGACACCGGCAAGCACCGATGGGAAAGGCCCTAGGAGAGCTGAAACTGAGCGGCACGTCCAGGCGAAAGGGAAAGGCACCTGCCCACCAGGTGTCTCTGCTACCACTTGGGATCAGCGCTGGATGATGAGCAGAGCCAGAGCTGCAGAGTTTGCCTTGCACAGGATAAGGCCATAAGTGGAAAAATCAAAACCAAAAAGTAGGATGAAAAGAGTACCAATTTGGTTAGGAAAATGTTACCTCCCCCAAAAAAAAAAAGCCACAATTAGCAGAAACATCCAGTACCCTGAGAGCCATTCCTCCAGAACTCATTTCCCAAAACCATTGGCTGATACCTAAGCAACAACATTTTAAGGTGAAGAGGTATTTTGAAGTGAACATTTCTATGGGATGCAGGCTGCAAATACTTGTAACTTGAAGCAAGGACTGACAGAGGTGATACTAGTGGAACATAAATCTGAAGGATGTGAAAGATGAAAGGCAGGATGGTATTGTTATCCAAAGGAGAACAAAAGATGGTAAAGCATGAGGGATTTTTAATTTTTTTTTTAAAGAAATTCTTCACTGGTAGAAATGTCATCAAATGTTCGTGTTTTGAAAAGCAGAAAGGTGCAGAAACAGTCAGGGGAATTGCAAAAGCATAAAAAATTCAGAATTCATTTGCTTGAGAATATCAGTCCTACAATCAAGGTCACAACACAAGGCCAACCCCCAGCGATAGTTGCCGAGGAGCCCGGGCACACAGACAGCACACAACACTTGTGGCTTCAAAGGCTCCGTTGATCGCACAATCCTCTTATTATGTGAACCCTCACAGATGAGTAAGAGAGCACTGTGAAAATAACCCCATCCAAATAGTACAGAGAAAAGAACTAAATAAGGAAACTAATGTCTACAGCTTCACATTCAACACTGCTGGGCTAGAGACAAAGCAACACCATCATTTAGCTTGGTATCTCATAGGTCATGCTGACCTGAGAACCTCTTCCAAGGTAACAGAGAGGGACCAGAAACATGATGACAGTTTATTGTGAAGGAAAACAAAGCTTTAGGTGGTTTTCTGACCTCTTCAAATTACTAACATTCTCAAGAAGATATTTAACACCTTCCCATTCCCCTTAAAGCAGACAAAATGGTAGGAAGGTAAGTGGAAAACAAAAATGTCATTTAGACATTGTTTCCCCCTCCTAAAAAAATGTGCATGCCTCCACTGTCCTCTGCAGGATGAAAACAAAACCAGGGTTTTTTCCCCCCTAACAAAAGCTACAATTATAGCAAATGCAAAACCATAAAGGGACAGATAGAACTAGTGATATAGTTTTTACAGACAAGTTGTTCTAGAAAGGCAGCCAAAAAGATTTGCACAATGGATCTCTCATGCCAGGAGATAACAGATCATGATAAAATAGCTGTGAGCAGAGGAGCCATACCAAGAGAAGCTCTGGACACGGTGAGTTACTGTTTAAAATATTACGCCTATGAAAGCAACTTCCTTTCCTTACCAGTCCCCAAAGGGCTCCTTCTGTTGTGGCAACGATGGTGGCAGCTCTAGGAGTGTTGTACATCAATGCCAGTTCCCCAAAGCTGCCATGATTATCGTAGCGGCCCACGCAGCGCGACTGGTTGTCTTTTGCTACAACAATATCATACAGTCCCCTGCAAAACAATGGAATAGACACTTTTTATTAGACAACATTCCAGTACAAATCTTAAAAACAGCTTTTTGCTGTTATACAAATAGGCTTTTTATTGCTGTGTGAGATGGAACATGCTTTATTGAGCTTTCCAACTGCATGATTCTCAGCTGCTTCTATCTACACTATTTTCACACTAATTCTCTCTTAATGAAGTTTTTCACTCCTGATAGATATGGGCAGGATCGACTTGGTTTTTTCTGCACAGTATTTTGACATTGCTCTTCTGGCCAGGGTGAGAGGCAGTTTCATCATCTTTAACAGTGTCAATTCACAGCATGTGTGTTACCCAGTGAGGCCTCTTTAGAGTGACTTGGACCCATCTCTGCCTGTTTTCTCAGTGACAGCATTGCTGCAGGACCTTTGGGAAACTGCTCAACTGCTACTGTGGGTTTGTCTCAACTCCAGATTAGGGGTATGTATATCATAACCTCAAGATGCTCTAAACTTGCTGACATCTACCAGGATCTCTGAACAGATCAAGATGAAATGTCAAAGTACTTTGTTCATACTGAGCTGAAACTTGTTTAAATTGGAAAGGCCTCCTGTTCTCCATGAAACACACTTCCTTACATTATAATGAAGTTGAGGGAACAGTATCCCAGAATTTACAGAGAATCAAAAGACTACTCTGATGAAGATGCAGGTTTGGGTCCAGCTAGTAAGCTCAAGACTCAAATCTGGATCAAACTGCACTAGAGCAACTGCCTATGAAGAAACAGGCTGTGCATAGAAAGGTAGCCATTTAAAAGCCAAACACGTGCCTGTAACACCCTCAGGACTGTCATGCTTTAAACAATAAAAATATAGTTTGAGTAGGCTTGATTAATTCTTAGCTATGGCACCAGAGATCATTCAGGTACTAGCCACTGGCCTACAAGACTTCACAGAACATACACCCTGGAGAAAAGCAGCAAAGGAACACCTTCCTGGCTTTAAGCAGCTGAATAAACATATAATTTTCCTGAGGAGTTTAGATTTTTGTCCAAAGGAATGGCATTACCTCCCATAACATCATTAGGCCCATAAGAAAAAAAGAAAAGGAATCACCAGAAATGGTAGTAGGTGGGGAAGGAAGGCACATGAGATTGCACAGCGTCCTTACCAGCCATTTTTTGTACCTGCTGCTGCTTACAGCTACGAGACAGAGTAGGAACCCAGCAGCATACTAACAGTAAACCAGAAAAGGTTTAGTGTGGATGGAAAGTGTCACTAATTCTTGTAAGTTCTGATATCCATTTAATGATTTTCTGAGAGGCACAAGAGGCAACAATCTCCAGAGGTGTATTTTTGATCTAGAAGAGATATCTGTGAACACCTTAAGCAAAAGCAACAACTTCTTCCCATCCCTCAGCCTGAAAGTCACTTACTAATGCCATTTATTTCCAAATAGCTATAGGCACATAACCTTCAGCCAAGCATTCAGCTGTCTGCGGCCCAAGAACTAAACTGGTGAGGCAACACTGGGTGACCTTGGTTCAGTTTTATTGGGAAAACTGTTGTTGAGCTGTTATTTTAGCCCGTGAGCTAAAACCTTGCGAGATAAGAAGAATAAAAACAGAGCGAAGTGTAATTGTTGAGATGGTAATCGTTACGGGCCCAAGGACTCAAAGGAAAAGTACTGACATGAAAAAATATAAAACCCCAAGTTAGAAAAAAAGCAGAAAAGCAGAAGAGGGCACCTCAGCAAGATTGTGGATCAGTCTGTTCCAAGAGACAACAGAGGCAAATGCTGCCCCTCCTGACTGATGACTGCTCAGTCAGCAGAGACTCAGCAGGTGCCTTCTCAGCAGCAATGAGCATCCTAAATGTTCAGCCATGGAACACATCCCTCTGAGCTCTTCCTTCCATGCAGAGGGTCCTAAATAGTTGCTGCATCCTCAGGTTGCATCTGCCCTGCCTTCCTGTCCCTCTGTACATAGTTAAAGACACTCAGACACAAGAGATCTGGTGAGGAAGCATCACAAGCAGAAGACTCTGGGGAAAAAAAAGGCCTGTGCCAGAACATAAAGTCACTGTTCATTCAGACAGAAAGAAACTAATCCTCAAGGATATTCAGGCATTAATTACTTATATCAGAGTAACAAGACATGCCTACTGATGCCTTGAAAGAGCCAGAGTCCTTTGAACTTCCACTTGCAAACAAGTGGAAAGACTGTGGCTTTCCAAAAGGACCAGTGTCCTCCTATTCTTTTGCATGAAAAATTAGAGGGTGGGAGATGGAGGAGGACTGGAAAGGGAGAAAGGACAGAAAATTATAACTGTAGAAGTTTTTCTAATAACTGAATAGTGAAAAAGAGTTGCAGCTGAGTTAGTTTTCACAGCAAAGGCTGCTATGCTGTGTCACTAGATAACAACAAGTTTAATTTTCCTCACTGTACAGCCTTTCTGCCTCATATTTTTGTCAACATATTTACGTTACTGGTGTATTTAACTTGAAAGTAAAACAAAACAAAAAACTTAAAAACCTGAAAACTTCCAACACAACTATCTCTCGATAGAAAAAACCTGTTTTGAAATAGCATTACATCTGTAGAACAGAGACCATAGAAGCACTTATCTGAATATCTAAGATAAAGTTCCATTCCACTTCTTTATTTAAGGTTAAAACTCATAGCAGAGCTTTTAGTAACCAACAGGATAACAGCCTTACATAGAAACAAATTAAAACAGGCTGATGGTATCTAACATTTTTGAGAGGCTCCCAAACTGAGTTTAAATTTCCTCATGATTAGGAACCACTGCTCTGCATGGAATCTCATCTTTGTAGAGCTGGTGGCTCTGGCTCCCACAAGTTCTGATCTGCAGTACCTTACTCTTATCTGGGACAGCTTGATCTCCCCAGTGAACGTGGCAAGAGAAGGAACTTTTCCTGTCTAGCCAAAGACATGGGATTGGACTGAGGCAGAGCAGTTGAGGGACATAACTGAGTATGGAAATGGAGCAGTGGTTTAGGCTAATGGGATGGTGTGGTAGAGGACAGGAGAATGGGCATATGGTCAATATACTTGAGGTAGCCCTATGTTCAGTAATTTCCCTAATCAGAGAGGGGAATGTCCTTAAAACAAACAAGAATCATTCAAAACAAACCATTTCTAACCTAGAAATTCTTTCACAAACTCCTTAAACATAGCATAAATGACAATTCAAAAGGGGACACATTGTCTTGAAGAACTGCTCTGAAAGTATTTCATACAATATTAATGGTGTCATTATTTCAGTGATAAGCAAGATAACAGCACATCAAAAAAGCAGTTTGCTAAGACTGTATTCCAACAGACATTTATAAATCACTTAGTAATTTTATGTTTAATATTACAGTTTTGCAGCAGGAAATAAATCCATATCCTTAATTTTTCTTTAAATATGGTGATTAAAAGTAACATTAGCCAGAATTTCTTCCAAAAGGGTAAAAGATACTCAAAATGTGCATGCACACATATATCTATTATATGCCTGTTGCATATATATGTGATCCCCAAAATTATCATGTGAATTTGCTTGATGCGAGAAATTGCAAAATGGCACCTTAAACTCTACAGGTACCGTGACCAACAGAGGCAAAGCAACCCTAAGTCTCTCTGAAGTCAGTGATCAAAACTAACTGGACAAAGTCCAGGTTGTTCAACAGTCACCATTACCATAGATTTTTACTTCCTGTATTCTCCTTCCTGAAAACAATCATCTATCCCTTCCCACATGGCTACTTCTGCTGCTTTTATGCCTCCTTTCTTCAGAAAAAAACATATCCTGGTCTAGAGACAGCATGTAATAGGGCTGGTTTTAAGCTGTACTATGCTGAGGGGTACAAAAACTAAACTGAACAAATCACAGGCAAGCTCACGCTGTGGCTCTCCCCTCAGAGAAAGTGGTATTTGTGTTGTCACAGTCTCAGAGAACGTGTTAAAGCCCAGCTGGTTTGAAATGTCCACCTAAGTCACATCGGATTGTCCCACTGACCCAAAAGTCAATGGAGGCCTTAAGGGGAAACTGGAAAGATCACATGAGAAGGCAATGACTGCAAAAAAGTAAGTTTGCTTCAAAACCTGTTTGCAGTAAGCATTCCCTTTCTTAAGAAGCTGAAAAGAAACATCCTCTTCATGTCACAGGCACAGCTGCTTACCGCTCAACGACATAGAAGTTATCTCCATCATCACCTTGGTCAATCACATGTTCCTGAGGTTTCACCTTCCTCTCAAACATGGCATCAAGGACCTGAGACAGCTGCTCCTAAAAAAACGAACAGGAGCGGGGGGAAAACCCAAACCTGTCAGAAAATACACTGCTGGACAACGGCAAGTTCATTTGACTTGATCTGGACAGTGAAACACAACATGCACTGCATCAGTTTTACTGTATGCAAATACCACTAGTACTGATATTATATGTTAATTTCTACTGGTACCTCATTCATTTCCACATTATTAATGTATGTTCAATAATGCAGACAAACATAGACACTTCCACCACAGAAGAGACATTATCTCAAATTTATGTCCAAATGGCTCAATTTTTGCAGACCATTTCAGTGCCAAAGCATACATGTCTGTTTGGTATAACCTGACACAGCTTCACTGCCATGGACACACATGGATTCATGTCAATGGCAGGTGTATTTCATCACATGTATGTCTAGAAACTGCACCATGATCTCTTAGTAAATTATCTGTGCTGTCATCATCTAAGAGCCCCAGTCATGACTAGGACTGTACTGAACAGAATTCTATACAGTTATTTCCCTAGGTAGTCTGTGTCTTAGAGAACCTACAATTGCAGCCCCAGATGAGACGGGGTAGGTACAGATGGGGAAAACACACAGAAAATGGGATAATGCTGGTGTGCACAGCAGGCTCCAGCTGGGTTTCCCCAATGAGCCATGACTAAACTTTCTTTTTTTGCAGGCAGCACAGCCAGGAAGGCTGTGAAAGCCAAGAGAGATGATGCCACATAAATGCCTTGCCTCGATGCTGACCTGCTCTACCAACTTTGTTATTCCCAGGCCCATTAACAATATACTTTTGCTGCATTTTCAATGCCCAGATGTTCAAAGCTAAAGATGTAGATCACAGCTGAGTTTCTAAAAATACACTGCATGAACACGCAAGCCAGTCTTTATGCTGCTAGGTGCACTTGAAATATTTACTGCACTCCTGGAGTTGGAAATTATCATTGCAGCATCTGTAGGCACCACTATATTGAAAATATTCCCCATCTTTTCAATAGAATCCTATTTTCTTGTCTTTAAAAACTGTGTCTGGACTGTTAGATCACGGTATTAACTGTACATACAAACAATCAACTCCATTTAAGATTTCCTTAAAATGCTATTACCTGATCTAGGTTTTTGAAGAGCAGGATATCTTTACAAGCTTCCTGCAGTCGGCATCGCTGTTCATCAGTTTTTGGATGAACTACCTTTAAAACAAAGTAAAACAGAACTGTCACGACAACAAAGAAATATGATGACAGACTGAACCTTCACCTCAGAGTGAAAAAGCAGAACACAATTTAAGTGTCAAAGTATACATTGTTTTTTTGTTGTTTACATAAACAGTATTTATATATAAACATACAATGCATGACAGAATGAAAGAGACATAAGAAAAATATTATGCTGACAATTAACACCTGCAAAATAACAGTCGGGACAGACAAGAAAGAAAAGGATGCCTTTTCCACTCCTTTCCCTTCTAGCACAGCCACAGACACGTCAAGGTTTGAGCACTTGAAACAGGAAAAAGTGAACAGTTTTCTTTCTCAGCTCTGGCTATATTAGTCCCAATATACTTACTGTTGGCATACAGGCAGTTCGTAAAATATATGATATATATGAGTCTCAGCCCACCTAACTACTGAAGAAGTATGTTTTTTTCCAACAAAATTACTTAAATAAAGCTTTGCTGTTTGAGATATTTTGCTACTTCTTTCCAATTATAAACTCTCATCAGGTTAAAGGAATTGATACTCACTGTATCATAAAAATGTTTATATGTGTGTTTGTTAGGGGCTAATTATGAAAATATATGTAAAAATATTAATTACCTGACATTCACCACATTAATATTTATTATTTCTGGAATAACAAGGATTCCAAAAATCAGTTACATTAGCAGGCATTTCTAAAAAGTATTATCTAAAGTTAAGCAGATCTCAGATCCTTATTTTAAAAGAAAACTGAATATTGAGTGAGCAGTCAAGAAAATTAAGACTTTTGATGTATCCAAGTTTACAAATATTTGGATGACCAGACACACTCATAGTCTTTTTTTTATTTTTATATTATAAAAATTATTTATGAAGTATCTTCATTTTTAAGAGAGATTAAATTAGACTTAGATTTTCATTGCAGAAGTGTAAATAACCTTGTGATGGAATCTGGAAAGGAACACCAGAAGTCCAAAGAGAAAACACTGATCATCACCAGCCAGGCTACAGGATTTGCTCTCATAAAACCATTTCTAAAGAAATACAATTGCAGTATCTGGATTCACAATTCCTAGAAATTCCCAGCTTTCGAAACAACAGGTGGCCACAGACTTAAAATATTTCAACCAAGTATTTCTCCTACCCAGGCAGAACTGCTTTAACAAGAAAGGCAGTAAAAAGCATGTGAGGAATTTTAAGCACCCATGAAGAAACAGCTGTGGTAAAGCTTAACTAATTCTTCTCAACAGCATCAGTGCTCTAGGAATTGCCTCAACAAGCCTTTAAGATAATTAAGAAGGAAAATATCCAAAATTTTAAAGATATTAGACTTAAGCACAGCTCTCCAGTCCTTTGAAGTAAAATTATATTAAAGCTGAAGTGACTAAAAAAGTGCATGAGACAAGGCTGGCCTTAAATTTCAGAGCAATGTCACTTTGTCAGTGTCACCACACCACACTCAGCACTAAAGGGACAAGTGGTAGGAAAATGCAACGTAGAGACATCTGCCTGTCAATCTGTAGAGAGAACCATGCATGAAATTATTCCCTCACTCACCCTTTGTTCTGTATCTTCTTCCTCTTCATCTGGATTGAAAGCTTCAGCACAAACTTGGAAGAAAAAGAGAGAGGAAATTAGTGAAAAGAAGTAATTACATGAGAACAGCAAGCCAATCAATTTATATACCTTTCTTCTGGATTTTCCTAAAGGAAAAACAAAATAACTTTTTGATTTTATGTCATTATAGTGTCAGAGGCTTAAATCCTATCTGTTCTCTGAGCAGGTACAACATGGCTGTTCTCAGACTCTCATGTAAAAAAATCTGTAATTTACAATAGAAAATAATCTTGCCTAGCAAGTACTCTGAAGCATAGACACAGGTTTCCTTTCAATTTGTATCAAAGCATAACAACCTCCATTCAGATTCATTTACAAGCATCTTCTCTAAAATGCAGCAGAAAAATACTGCAGCTACACTGCTTCGTTCTTCACAGTGCAATGTACAGAGCAAAACACACTGAAAAAAAAAAAGAAAAAGGAGGGATGAGGCACTTGCTCCACCTCAAGTCAGATGTGCAAGTATCGATATTTTGGGAGTTTTCTATTTTTTATATTTTGATACAGAGAAATAATGTTTGCACCAAAATTTACCCAGGAAATGAACAATCAGCTTGACTACAGTATATTCTACGACAAAAATAATATTTATTCCCTTCTCTCACATGTTCCTAAATCTTACTATATTTGAATCAAATGAACGTCAATTGGTGATTCAAAACCAACTTGAAAAATTACACAAAGTGATCTTTTTAAAATGGATGAGAATATTTGTGGAAAACCACACACGGCAGAGCACTGGGCCATGGGTCTGCCAAACATGTCATTACATCTACAGGATCAACTGGAAGAGGCAATAATGGTGAGCTGCTAAAATTTCAAACGGTTTTGATTCTTCAGAAAAGGCTTATCTTCACTTATCTTAACAGTTATACTGTTACGTGGTTTTACAATACTAAACACAGACCCTGTGGCTTCCAAAAGCCAACAGCTCTAGCTCAGATTTTCTTATTAATTCATGCACATTTACAGTTCTTGCATGTCAAAGTGATCTGCACATTCTAACCACCTGTACAGACAATCAGAGAAAGAAGAGTCAGTCCTGTTTTCATCTAGCTGTGCTCTTACTTTAACAAGGCTGGTCTCACTTCTGAGGCTATAGGCCACTTATAAAATTTTACAAGGAAATATAGACAAGCATTTTTCTTTGTACTTTATCCAGCATTCTGACAATACTGAAGACTTGGCAGAATGCCCAGAAGCTCACTGCAATGACATCTAACCCCTGAATGGACTCAAAGTATAAACAAAAATAAGCAGATTAAAACAAAAACCAAAACAAAACTAGAAAGTCTAGAATTCAGCGACTTGCAAATAATTCAAAAATGCACACAGGCTTATTGACCCTGTCATCATGCTTTCAAGAGGACTATAAAAATGGACAAGTCCAGCATAATTTGCTAGGAAAGATTTGCTTGGGTTTGCGTGGTTTGGTTTTGGGGTTTTTTCCCTTACCTAAAAGATACAGGTCTTTCCTAGCAAATTGGATTTTAATTCCTTTCTTCCCTGGAGAGAGTGAAGAGACTGGAATACCAAACAAGCATTCCACTTAACAAACCACAATGTAAAAATCCAATCATATAATCATTAGGCATCAGACATTTAAAGAGTAATTATTACTCATACAATAAACCCATTTAACAATACAGAAACAGTATATTGACAGTGTACCTACCACATGCTTTTACTTTAACAGAGGGATCCACCCACACTTAGGGCAGATACTTTAGAAAGGATAAACAGCATTCTTCCTCAGCTGAAGAAAGGTATAGTCCACCCCACAGTCCAAAAATGGCTGGATTATGGGAAGGTGGATGCCTACAAGCTGCAGAACTTGGACTGATAGGCTGATCCACTTAATATACAATACAAAGGCACTGACAAAGAGAACATTATTAGCATTTTGGTGTGAAAGCTTTCCTCCTCCTTTCATTTTACAGTAAAGATCAAAGTCTATTGTCAAAGCTGTGAATTTTCTAATAAGGAACATTTTCTAAGAAAAAAGGCTCCTTGCTTTGGACAGTACGGTGAAACTGGAGATTAAATAAACTATATTTTTTACAATCAGCATATTTTATGAGGAACTGGAGTACAATTCTCTATTTTGCACTATAATACATACTATAAATGCATTTCTGTACATTTCTAAAAGTACCTGGCATATAAGCACATTCAAGATATGTATCTATGAATTCAGAGATCATCGTACTTCACTGTATCATTCTATATTCAAATTCTCAATACTAAGCTGCAAATTTGATTTTGTTCCTTCCCTGTTCCTGCAGGGAAGCTAAAAATGCTTTGGAATTCAGGAAATTCTCTTCAATATTTCCTTGGAAAAACAAGTATAATTACCACAGTTAAAACTAGAGCATCAGAGCAAAACCTTAGATTAAAACAAGCAGCAATCAAAGCAACACAGTTCTCTGCAACTTCAGTAAGAAATGGCTTTGGTTGAGGTTTGTACAGGTAGGTTTCCCCTATTTCATCTTACCCACCATAAGGCCCACACAGGATGTATCCTTCTAGGACTTAGTGCCCTTCCCTTACATATGGAAATTACTTCTGTAGTGCCCATGAGTGGGCACCACAAAAATACAACAAAAATGTGGCCAAAATGGCACTTCTTCCCATACTGTCACATAGAAAACCTTCCCATTATACTTTTCATTCTTCAACCTCCTGCTGGGATTTCTTTTTCCATGGAGAAGGATAGGGCAGAAACTTTGGACTTTGGACAACTCTGATTGACAGGACTTTATTTACTTGCAGGCAGAGCTGTAACACTTAATGTAACATATCTGTTATGGGATGGTTAAAACAGGGGAGAGAGACAAAATTATGATTTCTGACTTCAAGCTTAAATTAATATTGTGATATGCTGGAAATCCCACAGAAAGCTTTTCAGCCTACTCATAACAACCAACAGCATTTTCCAAATACTTTAAAACATGACTAATGCAAAGGAAAAGTAAACATTACATCAAACCCTTCCCATGGTTTATGTCTCAATATGTTCAATTTTTCTTTTCACTATTTTTAATTGGTAGATCACTTGTGGAAGTCTGTACTGTTGAACACATGACCTGCTGGTATCTGTGTGTCAGCCTTACCTTCAAAATGTTGCATGGTATCTGTGCTCAAACAGTGTTGCTTTGTTATTCTTCTGGCTGAAAAAAACCCCTTTAACTACCTAAACTCTGCCAATCCCTGTCAGAAATCTATGGCATTTCAGGACTCCTCAAGGTTATTCATTTGAGGGTTACACTACAGCCATTCCCAAAGAAAAAACATCTGATCTTTCATCTTGATAGAGTGAAAACGTACTTGACCCACTATTTGATACATGACTGAACTCATGTATTAACTATTTCAGTATCCCAACAAAGCAGATATCCCAAGGCAAGCTTATTCTCACGACATTATCCTGAAGAAATGCACTGGTAGCATTTTTCAAACCCATTGAAATGGCAGTTGGAAGGGATCTGTCTCCAAAGGTCATCCAGTTCAACCTCCCCCTCCAAGGGGAGCTATTTGGAATGCTGGATTGGGGCTGACCTGGAAACCTCCCCGGGCGAAGATTGCACATCTCTCTGCTGACCTGCTCCACAGCCCTCCTGGGGAAGAGGCTTTTCTTAATGTGCAACCTAAAGCTCACAAGTATCTTGATATAAATTGAAGTGGCTTCTGAAATCACACCTTTCCTATGCGAGATTTTGAGCACAACTCTGCCCTTGAGCAAACACTAAGCACGAATCCATCAGTGGAAGTTACACACCAGTGTGACGCACACACAGTTACATGTTTCCAATACTACAGCTCTATCAGCTCACATCATGCAGACCAAGCTTCCTTCCAAGTCTACCCACATAGCTCAAATAGCTTTGGAACATAAAAAACAGTTTTCAATTTTAAGAAGCTTTAAGATAGAAAGAAATTCAGCTTTTTATCCTACCATCTACATTTAGTCTCTTAGCTCCTGCAGCTTCTACAGCGAGTTTAGGTTTCTCTCATGCTGCACCTTCTTTGGCTTTCAAGAACAGGCACATCTGTTAACACTTCTGAAGGCTCAGAAATGACACAGCTCAATCGCTGCTTTGTTATGCAGGTGACAGCATCTGAAAGCAACCAAGATCTTTGTAGCTGCAGCAATGACATCAGCAGTGGATGGTTGAGGGGAAAGCAAGGGGTGGGGAGAGAGTGAGAAGTAGCAAGACACCTTTGTTTATGCATGTTTTAATCACTCTCAAAAAATATTGTTCGGCAAAATACGAGTTTTGTCAAGATCAAAGTCCTTGCACTCCGTGCAAATCTGCATAATAGTTGAACATTTAGCTCTGGCAAGCCATCACAGCCTCTGAGAGAAACAGCACACCATCCTGGTCCCTGAGAGATCACTGCTTGTTTTCTTCAAAATAGCAGCCAAGAGGCTGAGGCCTGAATACATTTAGACACATACAAAAGAAAGAAATTAAACTTCCATGTTTTATATAAGATGAATGCATTATTAATATTTCTGTTGCTATTGAAACAAGTAGCAAATAGATGCTCTGTCACACTTCCTTTGCAATTTTGGATAGCACCTTCTGTACTCTGGAGTGAAATCCTACTTACTCCTCCTTACTTATGAGGATGCATCACCTCCAGCTGATCCTATCAGCCCCAATAATAAAAATCCACCCAGAGTAGTATGTGCAGAACCACTTTTCCAGTTATTTATTCAGGTGACTAATCTTACACTACATGTATTGTGACGTTCTTTGCATTTGAGTTTCTCAAAGCTTCAAACATTTCATAGGTCTGTCTCTCAAGAGACAGATGCAAAGCCTCTTCTGGGAGCAATATGCCAGCTGGAAAGGTGACCACTTCCAGGGTCTTGTCATTCCCTCTTTGACAGCTGAGTTGCACTTCAAAATGATGTAGTCAGATGAATTAGGAAGCTTAAACAGCATTTATACATAGGTCTTTGCTGGCACAGCTCAACGTGATTTTC